GTCCCAACAGATTAGAAATCATTCATTGGTGATTCTACCTTCCCCCACCCCACTAGGCTCCCTCTTGAAAGTTTGTAAATCAGTCCCTTCTTGTCTATATAGACCCCCCATTTTGGGTAGCTAATGTCTAAGTTGCCCATCCCTGTCAACCCTGTGTACCAAGGGGGTGGAGTAATCCTCGTTATAAAGATTTGTTCCATTTTTTGAGCTTCTACATCCGTAAGTATAGGTAAAGTTCATCAAATGTAGCAGGTTATTCTTAAATGTATTTATTTATTTTTAGTTCTTTCTTCTTCTAGTTGAGTTCTGATCATCTAGCCATCGAAGCCAGGTCAAGTGGGTACTATTTGCAAGTATGGGTGTTCTTGTTCATCTCTCCTCACTTCATATCAGCTGGACGCTTCACTCTCTACTCTAGTCCTCTGTGGCCAAGTCACTGCCTCTGGGCCTAGGAGTCCCCAGGTCTTGCCATACTTCTGGCCATCCAGGTCTCCACCCAAGTTCACAGGGGTATATTGAATGTGGTCGGGCTTAGCTTGTAACTTCATTGTTGTTTTTCCCCATCTTCCCCTTATCTGTGACCAATGTGGTCACCAGGCAGACCACATGCCTGGTCATGTATTCCCCTTGAGTCTCAGTCTTGGAAGGAAGTTTGCTCTGAGGGGTCTCGACCACTTGCTTTGATGGCTCCCAGGTGAACACCTTACTTGTTCATGTAATAATCGGTTAGACTGCCATTATTGTTTCAGATTTTTCCTGCCAGTCTTTCTTTCAGGAAGTATCTTCTGTTCTTTTCACCGCTCCAGGCTGTTCTACTCGTCCTTTCCAGTGGAAATTTCCTACCTCAGTTGGTTCTGGATGGGGTTCTGGATTCCACCTATGGTCTTGTGCAATGTAAAGGCTCCACAGGAAGCCTCTTTCACTGGGCAACTTCTAGCCCCCTTTAAGGTATTCCAATCAGTTATAGGCTGAAGACGGAGTTACAAGTTTTCTATAGTGATTCTGGGTATTCCTTTCTCCCCCACTCAAGTGTCTATTTTACAATGGTAGGCAAGGGAAACCAAGATTCAAAAGACAGCCAAGTATCTTAACATTATTACTCTCTTTTACCCCTTCAAACCATGCCTCAATCTCTGTATCCCGGAACCGTGTTGTTCCAAGATTGTGCATACATCATTTACCCCTGTCCCACTTAGCCCATGCGAACCTGCTTAACTGTTCTCCCATCTGCCTTGTTCTTCCATTCCCCTCCC